GGCAATGCGCCCATATCCCAGAGGTCGTGGGTTCAATCCCCGCCGACCGAAGGCTCCCCGTGTAGTAAATGATGACTGATGCACGTCAGATCTGCCGGGTACACAAAGTCCTCAAAGTACTCATAACAAATCAATACGCCAGGGGGGTACTGATCCAGGAGTTACCTTGTGTTCTGGATTGGGTTCAAAATTACAAGGCTACGGAGTTGAACAATAGTAGTCTTAAACCCGAAAATTGGGTCGGCTGTGCAACGACGATTATAAAATAAAATAAATTTAAAAAAAAATGAAACGGGTATGAACCGTGGTGGCTCATGGGATAGAGCGTTTGTCTTTCAACGAGGTGAATCGGGTTCGAATCTCTGCCGATACAAAATCCGCACGCAGCTCGCACCGGCCGCATCGCTGACGTAAAATATCATCAGTGGTAGACGGATCCATGGTTAGAGTTCCCTTGCTATCAGGCTAACCATGGGTGGTTTTTGTGTTTCCTTTCCATGTAACGCAATAATGGTTTGTCCCATCAAAAAGTTCGCCATGAAAGCGATTTTCTCCCAATACTTGAACTCCTTATCTTCTGGATTGGGTTCAAAATTACAAGTCTATGAAATTGAACATTGTCAGTCGAAAACTCAAAATTGGGTTGGGCTGTTCAAACGACGGTTCGCATATGAAGCGGGAATCTGGAATGACAAAAATAGTAAATAAAACCTCCAAAATTTAAATCCCCTTCCCCCCCAAGAAAAAAGCATAACTATAAAATTGAAAAAAGGAAACAAAAAAAAAGTTGCAATGATGAAAGGATAAAAATAGCTACAAAAAAAAATAGAAATTGAAAAACGCAAATCAAATGCAGAAGATAAAAAAAAAAGAAGAAATGAACTATGGAAGAACTGAGATAAAACTGAGAGCAGCAGTTGCAGAACTTCTAACCTTAATATTTTTTATGTTTAATTAAAAGGCTCAATTTTCCAGCATAAATTATATTTCATTTTGATAGAGAAGCTTAAAATTGATTATGAGAAAAACAATTCTAAAGTCACACCTATTATATATTCCTTTTCCTTTTTTTTTACTATTTTTCCTTAAAGGATGCTATAATAACATATATAATATATATTTTTTTAATAATAATATCATATAATTTTAATGTCACTTCATAAACTAAGAAAAATATTTTTTTATAACAATTTAGAAACAAAATCATAATTAAGGTACTTTTAACTCAAAGAAAAATAAATAAATAAAAAAATAGTGGAAAGAAAAAAGTGGTTACCAATAAATCTAGTACTAATATAATACCTTGTATAATGATTATATTATACTTATATAATGTATAGTCTAATTTTTCCTATCGTCAAATTTATATTATATATCGTCTCATTTAATCAATTGATACACAAACCGGTTTCATCAGAGTAAAAATAATAAAGCTGTATAACATCACCAGATAATCCAGATTTTACACAGAATCCTAATGATTTGGCCAGAGAATGTATGCAATAATTGTGGTTCTTTTGCCCTTTATCAATACCTCTTAGAAAAGAGAAGGCACGGGTTACTATAAACAAGAAATTTGATCCTTTAGTAGTCCAAATGTAATGACATCTTTCGTAGTAGCCCGACCATAGGGGCATCTTTCTTAATTTTTCATCCACTGCGCAGTTTAAGATCGTTACATCGGACTACTAAATTGATCCGTGCTAAGGCCTTCTCTCTTCTAGGAGGTGTCGTCTCATTACAAACAGTTTGTTGCCGCAACACACTCTGCGCGTCATTAAAAACAAATTACTTTACTAATTTGTTTGCACCTAAACAAATAAATTTTATATATTTGTAATTTAATAGTTAGCATTCTTGCGCATTAGGTCGCAAGAAACATGTAAATAAAAAATACCTGCAAAATATTTATACTCGTATAATTAAATTCTCACAATTCGAAAGTTATAATGCTGAAATTGAATGCATCATTTTTTCTCCTTTTTTTTCTTAAAGCATGTAGCAAATTTATTCTACTAAAAAATATAACACAAAGAACTTATTAAGTTTTAATTGAGTATAATGTATTCAATTAAAGCTAGTTTATTTATTTAAATGAGTCCTTTTGTTTAAAATGTGAATAACAGAATAAAACTTAATAAAAATCGTAGGCCACCTTGTCGCGTCAGAAAAAAAAATCACTTTAAATAATTAGTTCCAATCGAAAAACTCTTCAGCTATATTTTTGATTGGGGATGGGAAAAAAATTGGTTTTGTTTGGCGATGATCTTGCGATAAAAAAATCAAGTCGCACTCGTACAAGTTAGGGCCTTTAACAGGTACAGTGTTAGAAATTTCTCCGAAAAAATGGTTAAATAAAAATTTATTGAATGGTTATTTTACCATATTTAATTAAAACAGTCAAATAACCATAAATAAAATGGTAATAAAACTGTTAACTGTGAGAAAAACTGTTTATTAACTGCTTTCACCAAATACGGTCAAACAACCAGAATTTTATCGCACCTTCTAGAACCAACTGATGAAGCTACTTAGTTCTTTGCAACTGCGTACATACCATAACCGAGCGGGCTTATCCGTCCCACTCATGACCGGCAGAACGGAAGTTCGAGTCCTAGTGTTGACACCACAATATTTCCTTCATGCTTTATTCATGGTGCTCTCGAGGAAATGTTTCTGATCTTGATATTTTCTGGAGTTAGTTGCCTCGATCCAAATGACTAGATCATTGGCAAACATGGAGGCATTTGCCCCGGGAGTTTCTTTTAAAATTGTTATGAGGTCATTGATATATATATGTTGAAGAGAGAGCAACTGCAAACTGCTCCTTGAGATAAGCCAATTTTACTTTCCATGAGATTCCATGTCATTCCATATGGTTCTTACCCATCTTTGGGTTAAAAAGCAATTTAACTTAGCATTACAGAACCTAAAAACAAGATCTGATGAGTTTCTAAGGGTGGTTCTATTGGTAGACTCCATTTCTGCAATTCAAGCAATCACAGAAAACCAATGTTTTAAATCTAAGCTGTTAAACGAAATTCAGCTCGATATAAACTCCTCAACGAAATGAATAAAACTATCGTTACACAGTGGATCCCTTCCCATATTGGTATCGAAGGCAATGAGAACGCAGATTATCTGGCAAAAAACGGAACAACTATGCCTCTAGAAATAACAAACGTCACACCTGATACTCTTAAAAAATACGTTATGAAAAAACTCAACAAAATAAATAATTATGATTTAACTATAAAATCTAAAGGCAAAATATTCAAGACAATTGGAAATTTCTCTGTTACCAAAACCGTAAGGAAGCAGTAACCCATTTTAGGCTTAAAACAGGTCACGATTGCTATTCAGAACATTTATATAACATAAAAATTCTTCCCAACAAAGCATGCCCAATTTGTGACACAGGTGTACTAAACTCTGATCACCTCTTATTGTGCAAGGGTCTAAATAAGAACTCCCAGAAAAGTGGGAATGTCACTAAATTGTATTGGGACGCAAGAACTCTCATGAATTGTCACTAACTTTACCTTTTTCATGTTAATGTTTAAAATTTTATATTGCTGAAATGTTTATTGATTCAAATGTTTATTGTTCCTTTTTGTTCACTTTACCTAAATTGTTGAATTTTTTCTTTGTTATTTTTCTGCTCCTTTGCGATGTAGTGAGTTGTCAAATTTTCTGGATTGAATTCCTAATAAAGATATGTGAAACACATATTTCTTCCATTCGCACGTATTTCTTCCATTTTAGAAAGAAAATTTTAACAGTGTAAGGAAGAGGAGTAAGAAACGTGGAATGAAACTCCCATCGAGTAATTGATGTAAACTGGCGAGAGAGTGCTGAGAGAATAAATTTATCAAATTCAACCGAAAAACTTCTCATGTTCTTACGGAATTCCGTCGTTGCATTGATGTCCAGAAAAGTATCCACTTTTAAGGCACAAAGGAACAAAAAATGGGCTACAATGCTCTGGTCTTTATAAAACCTTTACTTCAAATAAGGATGTTTTATTTTATAACCATCGTTGAACAGCCGACCTAATTTTTTTGGGTGTACGACTACTCCATAGCTTTGTAATTTTGAACCCAATCCAGAAGACAAGGGGACTCCTGGATCAACTACTGGAGAACGCTCCTTCTCCAGAGTCTCGGAGGAAGTGATTAATGTCCTTAGAGACAGACAGACGTGATTGAATACTAAAATTTAAAACGAAAGCATCGATATAGGGATGAGAACAATGCAATCGGATGCGGAATTTGTACTTGCCAGCAAAGAACGAACATTTTAAGTGCGTGGAATCATACTACTGCAAGAAAAAGGGCAAAAAGTATTGCCCAATTTGTAAAGCGTTTGGCCCTGATGGGAACCCCATTTGAGCTTTCCGGCGCATGCATAAAAATTGCAGTACGTCGCTGATGGCTACGGTTGAGTAAATGATGCAAAATATCCTCTAAAAGTTAACGAGAGAAAAATATGTGAGGAGAGTAATTATCGATAATGTCAACCTTCATCTATGAAAAGGTACCCCACCATAGAATTGAGTTAACATGTCCTATATACTAGTGAATTGGAATTGTATTTTTGTAGTGGTAGATACACTACAGTACTCCTCCACCAGAATTATAGCCGTGATAGAATTCGATGAACGGATACCACTAGTTTGTTCATTGCTGTTTTTTTTTTGTGAGAAGCCGGGAGAGCTTTGTTAAGTTCACGGTCGTCGTCGCTCCTATGTTGCCTTTAGTAGTCGAGTGTATACGTTGAACGTTGTGCGTGATAGAAATTGTGAAGCAACAGCGTGAGGAGGTCAACGTCGCCGTCACAAGTAGTAAGTCAACTGTTCAATGTGCGGATCATCCATCGAAATAGGCTCGTTCAAATCGTAGTAGCCGTTTCTGCCAAGGTAGGCGAGTTCACATCATCTCCGGGTCACCAATGTGGAGACAGTAGTTATCGACACTGTCAACTATGAAAAGGTGTCCCCATCATAGAATCGAGTTAACACGTCTTATATATTAGTGAATTGGAATTATATTTTTGTAGTGGTAGATATACTACAGTCATTCCATATTTCATTCCATCTTAGGAAAAAAAATGTTATCGATTAAGTTTTCATTTTTAAGCAATCACTGATTCAATTTCGTGTTTGAATTTCTCTATGAGTGTTAACAAAAAAAAAGGGATAAGTAAAAAAGTAAACTCACCAGTTGTGTTAAGATAAGAGAAAGAGAATTAGTAGAAGAAGACACGTCGTCTGTGCCCGCGATCGCCACGTACCCGATATACTACCTGAAAGTACAAATATACACATGTTAAAAAAATGTATAAAACTCAGTAGTCACAGAATTAAGAAATTTATTTTATTTACACTAGCTTTAAAAGTACAGTCCTTGGTCAAATTATTAGACGGTCTATATGTAAAATCTTAATTATCAGGTGATATTATACAGCTAAATTGTTTTTACGCGACTAAAACCGGTTTGCACTTGTTTACGTTCATATATCAATGGGTTAAATAAGACGATATATAATATACATTCGAAGATAGGATAAATTAGACGATATATTATATAAATATAGAATATTTATTATATCAGGTATTATATTATAATAATTAGACAAAATTATAAGACGCACTGTAGTTTTTTTTTTAATAATGGCATGTTTTGCACGAGTTTATACGCGATACTTTTATGTTTAAACATACATGAAATGGGTTTCTATTAAGGAGACTTTCAATATACTTCCCATTTGTATTTATTTTGAACGTATTGCGCTACAATGTTAACCAATCGATACACGAACGTAAACAAGTGCAAACCGGTTTTAGCCACGTAAAAACAATAAAACTGTATAGTAATATCTGATAATTAAGATTTTACATAGAATCTTATAGTGCGTTTAATAATTTAGCCATTGACTGTACAGAATCTCCACCTTAACATGATCCGATACAAACTTCATCGCATATTTCAATAATGTTACACAAAACAAGTCGAAATAGGCTGCTTAACATTATTTTTTCATTTCAACTTACGCGTGTTTTTAATAAGCCTGCACAGAAGTAAAAGCTTTATATCAATATAAGCTGTTCTATGAAACATTTCTGTACAAATAAATTAATAATTTATAGTGAAAAAGAATTATAACAAGTGTTATATAATAAATATTTAGCAAAAGCAGCAACGAAAGAGACAAAAGAACTTGCCTCCACTTTAAAAAAAAAATATTCCAATCGATATAAGAGTCGATAGCTTTCAAATCACGTGCCCCCCCAAGAGGAAGGGAAAAAAAGAGCGAAAAAGCGAATATCAGGAAAGTACTTTGTTTGAGTGGTCATTCTCTTTATTTCATCAAATAAATTTACATACATTTAATACTTTTTACTTGAAACTAGATTTTTCTGAAAATAACCGTAAATTAGCTTGCACTGAACTTAAACTTAAAAATTGTTTTTAATGTTAAATTTTATTAAAAATCATGTTTAAAATCACAAATGGTAATTATTTTTTATATGACAGACGCTGTATCAAATTATCTAAAACCTACTTACAATGAGCTACATACAAACTATATATATGTTGACCAGCAAAAAGATCCTCTCCCAAAAGCAATGTTCTTTAAGACGTTTTTGTCCAACTGATATATCGGTTGAATAGTTTCCTCAAAAATTAAATTTTGAAACAGTCGTATTTTTTAAATTCGATTTCTCAGAAACTATTTGACCGATTTCATCCACATTTTGTATTTTGCCATTTAAAATTGCAATACTTTACAATTCAAGCTGTTTTTGACGGTTAATTAATAAAATAATTAAAAATAATAAATATTTACTAAAAATTACATCTTGCGTAGAATTATATTTGGATAAACGACTTTTATAATTGTGTGCAAAAATTTTTCAATTCTCTTTGAAAGTTCTTCAGATATAGTGAAATACGCAAAAAGTAAAATTAACATTAAGGGGGTCCAAATTTTGGGGAACTCTCCTGACCAAACTGTTAGGACCCTTTTTTACTTATTGCTGCTACCCCCTATATTTTGGGGGTCAGGAGTTTAAATCGGCCGGAAAAAAGGTATGTTTATTTGGAGAAAGTGTCTGTTTTTGTGTCTGATTTCATAACTTAAAATATCGTCTGCACTAATTAATTACCATGTTTGTGGTCACCCCCCTTGAACCATTAAGACTGAGTCATAGAACGAGAAGATCCGATCATTAAATCAAAAGTTATTCAGGATTTTAGTTTTGCGCACTGTTCATGAATTAAGATGGAATAATTAACATTCGATAATTAAATTCTAGCATCAGTAAACTTGCGCGAATAAATACCGATCTTATGAGAATGAAAACAAAATTCGATTAGTTTCTTTTATTTTATTGAGTTTTGAATATAATAAAAAAAAGATCCATTAGGATTTTACTTTAATGAAGGATTAATCGCGCATAAAGGTAATTGTAAATGAAGGCAACATTATTTTATAAAGTTCGATATACGATCGCGATTTTATAAAGCTCGATGCTCTAATGAATCGCGAGTTCTTTTATCTTGACATACAAATGGATTCTTATTAAGGCGACAAAGGACTTTCAAAAAAAATCTTTTAGAAATTACCAAGGGATTTGTTTGAAATTCTCAGTATACATTTATATTGTTAAAAACAACTTATATACAAAATTTTAACAAAAGTATTTTAAAATTTAAGAAATTAAAAGAATTAAAATGTCGAATTTTTAATGTTTTTTTTTATTGCTTTTTTAATGATTCCTCGTTTTAGAAATTCTGTTAAAATGACAAAATTCTTTTAAAATATTTCATATTAGGTAATATAAAAAAAATTGTTGGGAGTAATTTTTTATTTTTTATTATTGAAACAAATAACAGTAAAAAAAATAGTAAAAAACCAGCATTTTTGGTGAAAAAAAATCATCAGACCACTATAAAATATTACGCATAAGAATAATATTATTTACTTAATACAGAAAACTTTTTCAACAAAATGTTAATAATTTTCATACATGTATAGAATCACATTCTCAGGTCAATAGAATAAAAATTTATTTCGCTGGAACAGTTTAAATTTGTAAATTTCTCAAAAAAGACATTTTCAGAAAAATGACTTTTACTACTTTTTCATTGCAGGGGGTCAAAGGGGCGTGGTCAAAACAGAAATAGTCATAACTTCATCAAATGCCTAGATTTCAAGAATTTTAAGCCTAATGCCTAGATTTCAAAAATATAAAACTTAAAAAATAAAAAAAAAAAAAAAACGATTTTTTTTTTTTCCGGAAAATTTTTGCTTACTTGAAATTCCGTTGTTCCCTTAAATTGGGATTGGTAAGAAACTTTAATTCTGGATTCTAAAACACGGTGTTTCCAAGGATCACAAAGGTTTCCAGAGTTTGGAATTCTTCTTAACTACTAATAATTAGATTTTATTGAATTCATAATTTGTTTAAAGTTGGTTATGTGAAATTTTTTTTATTAAAAAGTAACAAAAATATATTGTTTCCTTTTTTTATAGCAATGCATTGAATAAATCATGAAAAGAATATGTATTTAGAGATAATATCATGACTATTTTCAATTCAAAATAAAATAACCAAAACCAAGAGTAAAATAACTTCCTCATAACNTTTGTGTCTGATTTCGTAACTTAAAATATCGTCTGCATTAATTAATTACCATATTTGTGGTCACCCCCTTGAACCATTAAGACTGAGTCATAGAACGAGAAGATCCGATCATTAGATTAAAAGTTATTCGGGATTTTAGTTTCGCGCACTGTTCATGAACTACGATGGAATAATTAACATTCGATAATTAAATTCCAGCATCAGTAAACTTGCGGGAATAAATACTGATCTTATGAAAATGAAAACAAAATTCGATTTGTTTCTTTTTTTAAATTTTTTTTATTGAGTTTTAAATATAATAAAAAAAAGATCCATTAGGATTTTACTTTAATGAAGGATTAATCGCGCATAATGATAACCGCGAATAAAAAAATTAAAATTTTGAATTTTTAATGTTTTTTTTTATATTTTCCCTCGCTTTAGAAATTTTGTTAAAATGGCAAAATTCTTTTAAAATATTACATATTAGGTAATATAAAAAAAATTGTTGGGAGTACTTTTTTATTTTAATTATTGAAACAAATAACAGTAAAATAGTTGTAAAAAACCAGCATTTTCAGAAAAAAATCATCATACCGCTATAAAATATTATGTATAAGAATAACACTATTTACTTAATTCAGAAAACTTTTTCATCCAATTCTCAGGTCAATGGAATAAAAATTGATTTCGCTGGAACAGTTTGAAATTTGTAAATTTTTCAAAAAAGACATTGAGAAAAATGACTTTTACTACTTTTTCATTGCAGAACGTCAAAGGGGCGTGGTCAAAACTGAAATGGCCATAACTTCGTCAATTTTGCTCTAATTCAAGAATTTTTTTTAAATGTTCGGTTAAATGCCTAGATTTCAAAAATATAAAAAATAAAAATAAAAATCAATTTTTTGCAAAATTTTGGATTATTTAAAATTCCGTTGTCCCCTTAAATTGGGATTGGTAAGGAACTTTAATTCTGGATTCTTAAACACTGTGTTTCCCAATATATTTTTCGTATAGAAGGATCACAAACGTTTCCAGAGTTTGGAATTCTTCTTAACTACTAATAATTAGATTTATCAAATTCATAATTTGTTTAAAGTTGTTTATAAGAAATTTTTTTTTATTAAAAAGTAACAAAAAATATATTGTTTCTTTTTTTTAATAGCAATGCATTGAATAAATCATGAAAAGAATATATGTATTTAGAGATAATATCATGACTATTTTCAATTCAAAATAAAATAACCAAAACCAAGAGTAAAATAACTTCCTCATAACTCAAATTTTGCTTGCCTGTACATTTAAAGTTACGAAATCATATACAAAAATTTTCAAAATTGACAACAAAAAAAAAGATTACCCATTGGCAAATGGTAGCTGTATAAATTTTTTTTTACCCTCTTTATTTGTGATATTCACCTGAATTAGTACTGAAAATGATCCAGTTTGAACCGTAGACTAGAATTTCTGATTCTTAATTAAAACAATAAAAACAAAATATATCGTTCAAATGATGAAATTCTCTTTTATTCACAACTCAAGAAGTATTTATGGGATCTCTCTGGTCCCATATCTCAAAAATAACCTCCCCAACTTAATGCATTACAAAATTAAAAGTGAAAAAAAGAATTCTAAAAAATTTATCATACAGTAGCGGTCGCCATAACAACGCATG